CAGGCAGGCCCCAGGCAGAGCTGGGCCATACCCAGCCTCCTGGCTCCCCCAGACCTGGAGCTCAGTCCCAGGGGACACAGCCCAGTGACCACTGCTGTTCACGGGGCAGAGAATGAGGTTCTGGGTGTGGGCCGGCCCTCAGGCACCCAGGCCCTCAACCTTCATGATCCTTGGCCTCAACCCCCACCCACCCAGATCTGCAGGTCCCCAGCCCAGCTGACCCAGCGCCTCTGAGAACAGAAGGTGCAGCCAGTGGCTCCGTGTGGGGACAGGATGCAGGAGGCGCCCTGTGGACTCGGGCGGGCGGTGTGGCCACCGCGGGTGGCGTCCCCCACCAGCTGCAGGGGACCTGGGGTCTGTGGTCACAGCCACTGTCCTCGGGGAGCAGATCTCTCCCGGGTGAGAACAATCCCCCTCATTCCCACAAAGCACCCCCTCCGCTGAGCCCAGGCTCCGTGCAAAGGCTGACACAGCAGCCGGCCGCGTACTGTCACTCGCGGCCCATCACGCAGTCACACGTGTTTACACGGGGTCCCCTGGGTGGGAAAGCGGGGGGCGGGGGAGCAGGACAAAGCAAACACCCGAGAGAGGCTGTGCTCACAGACGGGCTGCAGCCGTGAGGGGGGCTGAGGGTGCAGACGTGCCAGGGGGCCTTCGGTGGGTGCCATGCGGCCCAGCCTGTCTCTGCTCCTCAGGACATAGGGACCCTGTGGCATCCCAACACCCGCTTTGTCCCCGGGCGTCAGTGGATGCGTCTGAGCATCCGTTCCTGCCCGATCGGTCCAGGTGGGGTCTCTCCTCCCCCCACACGGGCTCCCTACGGCTCCCTGGTGTGCAGCCCCCGACACACCTGGGGGATTGGGGGGAGTCCTGGTGCAAGGTCGGCCCCCTCTCCACCTGCCAGCAGGAGTGTTAAAGGTGGCCTGACCTCCAGGTGGTCTCTTGGGGCCCAAAAGCAAGAGGGGTGCCCTTCAAGGCAGGGGTGTCCCTGCACCCCATGGTTCTGTCCTGGGCCCTGAGTCCCCCAGGTGGGCAGTCAGAGGTTCAAGGAGAAAAGACTCAACCTGGCTGGTGTCACTCAGTGGTTAGAGCAGAGGCCCAGGTTCCAACGGGTTTTGGGTTCGACTCCCGGTCAAGGGCAGGTGCCTGGGTTGCAGGTGCCATCCTCAGTCAGGGTGAGTTCGGGAGGCACCCAGTCCACGTGTCTCTCTGTCTCTTTTTTTAAAAAAAATATTTTTATTGATTTTTTACAGAGAGGAAGGGAGAGGGATAGTTAGAAACATCGATCAGTTGCCTCCTGCACACCCGATACTGGGGATGTGCCGGCAACCACGGTACATGCCCTTGACCGGAATCGAACCTGGGACCCTTCAGTCCGCAGGCCGACGCTCCATTCTCTGAGCCAGACCTGTCAGGGCCTTGTGTCTCTCTTACATCCATGTCTCTCTCTCTTTCTCTCTCTCTCCCTCCTTCCCTTCTAGTCCTGTAAAAATCAATGGGAAAAAATATCCTCAGGTGAGGATTAATCAAAAAAATAAAAAATGAAGAAGAAGAAGAAGAAGAAGAAGA